ATGTACACAAAAATATGCTGGACTTGGTTCAAGTTCAGCTTGGGGTAGAGGGTATCCTGTCATGTGGCTGCCCCCAGATGCGGATGGTGTGCTGAGTTAATGATCTTGCTATCTTTAGTTTCTCTGACTATAAAATGAGAATGATTATGCTTACAAAAACTCTGTTGGTTAAATTATTGAAAGCCCTGAACTGAATTATCACTGTTTATTCGAGATTATTTTTAGCAACCTTGTAAAAAGCTCAACTTGAATTCTCCACCTTACTACAGTGCCCTGGCTCTGCTCTTCAAATATAGGTTTCAGACATTTTATGTAATACATAGAATCTCTCTAATTAGACATTGTATTAGAGGAAATCAGACATCAGTGCACAGTGAATGTATATGCAGTTAATAGATACTAGACCACATATAAATGTATACTGGCTGCATATAAATGAATTTAAGGAATATTAATTAGATAAAATTACTGGAATGTGAGAAGCACTGGGCAGGTACACACTTGTAGAAGTCTTCTAGCCTGTTGGGGTAGAATCATTAAAAATTAATGCTATAATTTACACATCACCTCAGCTGGCATATTCTAGATCTGTTAGATAATACTGTGGTAAATGTTGTAAGGAAAGGCCTCCCATCATCAGGTAATTTGGGGAACTGTTAGGTTAAGCCAAGTTGGATTGTTTTCTTCCCTGGTAGATTTTCTGGTTGCAAACACAACTGTGAAACTCTTTTGTTACAGAATACCTTTTGGGATAATTGTTTTGTGGAATGCACTTTGGAGAACCCTATTTTATTCCGATTTTTTCACTTTCTAGATGAGAAAAACAAGACCAGCAGTATTTAAATGACTTGCTACTTTTATATACAGCTAAATGAAGCTAAATGTGAAGCTCCGTATGGGTCACTTTCTGGTGTTCTGTCTCCTGTATCACATTGTCTCCCCAAAGTTCACCCAAGTGGGGTCAGCTGGAGAACTGTTTTGCCTTTCTTTTCTGTGGGACAAAGATAGCACGTATCACTTGTTCTGGGTGACAGCCATCCAAGCTAAATGCTTCACCTCCACACTGGCTTCTTGGGCCATAATTACTCAAGTTCCATAATTCAAAGATGGATTTGATTTGCTAAGTCCATGAGTTTTGGTGTTTTTCACTCAATGCCTACCAATTGCTGATCTTTGAAAGTAAATCCCAGGTTGGAAATGCAGTTTTACCACTCAGCTGTGTGTCTTTGGATAAAGTCAGCCTCTCATGTACAAAATGGGGCTCATAGATTGTTTATTCTGGTTAACATTAGTTATATCTGAAAGCTTACTGGTAAATGTATTCCAAAAATGGTATCTATTTCTATTCTTTAACAATATCCAAAGGTATCTTGAATAATTACTGTGTAGTTATGTTGGCTGCAGTCTTTTGTGTGTTACAAGATATGGTGAAATAGCCTTTGTTAGAATTTTGCTAATGGAAATGTTCTCTTTGACTTTTCCTTTTCCCTGTCTTGAGTTCTTGGGTCTGATGTCTTCTGTAAGGGTCCTGTGTTGGCACATACCATGCCCTATTCTTGTACCTTCAACATTGTTCCGAATCGGACCAGTTCCTTTCTTTTACCAAGGTCATAAACAAATCGCAGAGAAGTCTAAATTCTTTCTACTGTAGTAATAACAATTGCAGATGTTTAAAGTCAGACATATTCACCAGCTCTATTTTATTTTTCACCTGCACTAGCTATGTCTGTTCCCTCTTGCTGCTGCAGAGACCCTTGTACACATTTAAGTTGCAGCTCTTACATTTCTGCAAGCAGTTATGAAGGTGCAGCTTGGAAAACCCTCTCTTCGCTCCAGCAGAAAGGATTTCACAGATTTCTATACCTCTTTGCAGGAGAGAAAAACTTCCAAGCCGAGCGCAACTTGAAAGAGGCACTCCCCCATCACTCTAAGACTGCAGTTGGTGTGACTGCTTGTGACACATTTTCCAGGAGACCCTCCCACCTCCCCGAGGCTGCAGCTGTGATTAAAAGCTGTCTACTCTCTGCCTAACTGAGGGTTTGCTATTTAGCCATGTCATACACACACACACACACACACACACACACACACACACACACACATGTATATATCACAACTGCATTTTGAAAAAATGTAAAAGTGATTTGTAAGATAAAAATAAGATCAACACTTGAATAACAAAGGCCGAATTTTCTGTGCTTAACTTCCTGAGAGATGCTAGTTGGGAATCTAGCCATGTATGAGGTACATAAAAGTAATTTAAGGACAAAGAGCTAATGGTCGGTGAATATATACCATCTGCCAGTACATGCTCTGCACACATCAGCCAGACAGAGCATCTTAAAGATTTAAGTGCACTTGAACTTAGCAGCTGCCTCTTAGTGCTTTGGTGTGATTCGGGATTCAGTTTTGGCCCTTTGCAAATAAACAAGACAACATTCCTTTTTAAGTCCACCAGACATTCACTGATACATGAATAGTCACGTTTGGCATGTCTTAAGAATGCTTTTCTCCTCGAAATGTGCCATTAACATTACCTTTAAAAATGCTCAAATGAGCTGGGCAGACTCAGAGATTGCAAGCTGCAAAAGAATAAGTCACATAGCCTCCTTTACGTTAGAGAGACTGAGTACTCAGCCTTTTATAAAGAGAGTGTTCCAGAATTTAAACCTGGCCTCTTTGCACCACATGACAGGCAAACTTACACATGCCATGAGATAAAGCAGTGTTTTTCCTTTCCCTGCCATACCTCGCCCATTCACTGAACCAGAAGAATTCAAACATGCCATCTCTCTTAAATATATAAAAAAAAATCTGGGGACATTTTGAAAATTGTGTGTTTCCTTTCCCCTCTGCCTACCTCTCCTTGTCCTCCCAAGTTCCCAGCAGCCAAACCCAGGGAATGAGATGCTAATCTATCACCAGCAAATTTAGGCTGACAATACCGTGAATCGACCACATTGATGACATTGATTCTATTTCAAATATTTACAATATAGTGCGACAAGCCTAATCTATTTTCTAAAGAGTTCAAGGTAGGTATCACCATTTCAGAGGGCAAAAACAATGGAGAAATGTTTGTGGTTGCTATCTGCAATAATCTGATGCTGACAGAGAGTAGTATTTTATTTAGTAATTAACAGTGTAAAGGGGAGAGAAGCTGTCATGTCGGTTCTTAAGCTGGGGAATGTGATGAAAGATGATATCTGCGATCTCATCCTTTCCACTTGTTTAGGATTGTCAGGATGAGAAATGTCAGCATTATGAAAGCTAGACTCTGCTCTTGATATGATAAAACCCTTCAAAAGCCCGTCTTTCTCTCTCCCTCGTCCCCCTCCTTTCTTGCTCTCTCTCTGCACTTGCTTTTTTATTTATCCTGTTTTGTTAGATGGCAGAAATATAATTCTTTTCTTTCTTCCTATTATAAGCCACCATTTTTGTTTTATTATATGTTTCACAACCCCTAATGCCCCTCTGAAAATTACCTTGTTAAATGACAGTGTTTCAAAGCCATGAATCCTTTCCACCATTCCCTCAGAGGTTTGAAACAGTCAACAGACTGTAAAGAATAAATAATAAAAAAGTATTGATTATTTTGATGACTGTGAGATTCAATTAAGTATTAATTTTGCCCTCCAGTGGACCTATCAAGGTATTCAAAAGGGAGGATTTGGCTCAGCTAAATGCGTGCTGAGTGCTTCAGCCTTAAATAGGGAGAAAATGTGTTTACCTACAGTATTTGAAGAAGAAGTGCATTGATGCACAGAGTCCAATATTTAAGTGTGGTGCAAATTAAGCCCTGGTGACAGTGACATTGTTTTCAGTGGTATGAGTATTGACTAAAGAAGTGCATTTGATGACAGCTTAAACTATTTGTATTGATTAACATTTTCATAGATTATCATGTGTCATATCAAATTCACTTTTCAGGCATGAATACATTAAAAAAAAAAAAAAAAAAACAACCACAGGCAAACAGCAACCAATGTAACAGCAGGACGCAGGAGAACGCGCCCCACCTGCTCCAGGGCTGGTCACCTGTTTCCTGCTCAGGAACCATTTAGGCATGAACTTGGCAATAAATAGCTCCCAGATTATGAAAAAAAGGGGCACTTCTTGCTTTTCCTTTCCTTCTGCATGTGATATTTATGCCAAAGCAACATTATGCGTCTTAGTTCGCAAATGGAAAAAGGCTACACTTGGAAAATATTTCTGATCCTAACATGCCCTCCTAAATAAACTGAAGATAAAGCAGATCTAGATTACTGGGGGCAAAAGTTTGCCTTTTTTTTGGAGGCGATTTTTGGTTTCTTTTTCTTTAACGCTCTGGGCGTATGATGCTCTAGGTATCTGAATTATTGAACGCAGTTTGTAAGTATTTTTCCAATTCTTTTAAAAAATTTGAAAAAAAATATTTTTTGGTACATTTTGTTGTGTATTGTTTTGCTTTAAAATGTTCATTTGATTTGGGATCAGCTTCAGTTCCCAAACTGGAACAAGGGAAGTCAACTTCTAAGGGTGCGTATAGAATTTACATAAGATATATCTTTTATTCCATTGAAAGCATTTCGAGGACTCTTTTCTTCCTATCTCTTTGCTCTGCTCTTGGGATAGAGTTTAATTGCTTCTCCCGCAGGGAGAAGGCTTCTTAAAATAGCCCGTGGTTCCTCCATAGGGTGCTCCTTCTAAAAAGGTATGTTGCTGAGGTACAAACCCAGCACTTTTTCTTTCCTTAGTGCATTAAAGACAGAACAAGGTGTAAAAACATTCGCACAAAAGCACATCCCACAATTAAAGCTGTGTTGCTTAGGTTGCTTTCAAAGAAGTTTTTTTTTTTTCCCCCCTTTTTCTTTTCCTTTTTTTCCCCTCTCCCTCTGATGCCTCCTGAATCTCTCACATGCTAGTTGAGCTTTAATAGGGTGGGGAGTAATGGAGAACTCATCGGATCTGTAATAGCTCTTCACTTGACTGCAGCCAGCAGTAACAGCAGGAGCAGCCAGAGATAAGAGAGAGAGGAGAGAGGGAGAGTGTGTGTGTGCGTGGAAGAGAGAGAGAGAAGAGAGAGGAGAGGGAGAGGACACGCACTCTAAAGCAGCTACTTTTTTTTCCTCCCCTTCTCTTTCCCCCCATCCCAGGATCCAATGATAGCTGGACAAGTCAGTAAGCCCTCGCTGTCAGCGCGGAGTGAAATGAATGCGGAGTTGAGAGGTGAAGACAAGGCTGATACTTCAGACAGCGAGCTGAATGAGTCCCTGCTTGCGCCTGTGGAATCAAATGACAACGAGGACACTCCCAGCAAGCTCTTCGGTAAGTCTGTCTAGGTATTTCATTTCAATCCTACCATGTTGTCCGGAAGAGCAATCCAACCCCTCACCCCCTCCCCCTTCTCCTCGGTGGTTCATTCAATTTTCTTGTAAGTACTAAAGAGGAGTTTCGCATCTTGGAGGTGCAAAGCCACCAAAGCCGAGCCCAGCTGGCTGGGGAGGTCGTCCTCCAAACTTTCACCAACAAGGAACTTATTCGCTGCCCATTTTGATTTGTTTCCCCAGGCTGGAAATTATTTAGGGGGGGAAAAGAGAGAGAGAGAAAAGAAAATGGTAATAATAATTAGGAAATCAGTTGCATTGTGAGAACTGGTTAACAATTATTGAATAAATATCGACTCGGTTTCGGGTTGCTTCGCAGTCTTTTGTTAAGGGGAAAGAGAGTAAAGAGTTATTATGTGTAGTCAAAAGACTAGGAGGAAGATTGAAAAATATCAATACAAGTCGTGCTATGCCAGGTAAACAAAGGTGGCTACAGGAATTACTCAAAGAAATAACATTTAGTCATCACAATCAGGATGGATGTTTTTTTTAAAAGGATGCTTAGCAAAGAAAATAGGTGCTTGGCATCTCTCCTCCACCCCTCTCCTCTTTAACATTATGCTGATAGCCTCCTACTGAACAACTAGGAGAAGCAGCCCGGGACCTTTCAGGAATCTTTGTTTCATAAACAAAACAAGAACAAGCAGACTGCCACTCCAGCCAAGACATCTGTCATTCAAACAGATGACACTCTGTAAGTCAACTCAAGCAACTGTGATCTCTAATCAGAAAGGGGAGCAGGTTGTTGAGGCTGGAGCCTGAGTGATAGATGTTGATAGATGTCTCTGCTGGAGAAGCACTTTATGGTTCAGAGTGACATTAGGTTTTCCGAACAATTGTCCAGGAAACAATTGCTTTTAATTATTTTCACCTGTGTCTGTGTATGTGCGTGCGCACATGTCTGTGTGTGTACTAAGCTGATGTAATATATCATGCAGAGTGAGAATTGCTTGCTCTCAGGTTAAAAGACAGTCAGATGTCTGGACTTCAAAGAAAAGTCAACATAATCGCAGAGACTACCTTGTTAAGAAAGTCATTAATTTAGTTAAAGAAAAAGCCTTTAATTTTTTTAGCTTATAGAAAGAAACTGCCTCGACAGTTGGATGACTCTCGGCCACTTTCAATAGAAGAGAGGTTTTCTAATTTTCAGTGCTCCCTAAGTTAAATATCAGAGAGCTGTCACAGGAACACTTTGCTTTGTAAATTTCTATGGGTCAAATACTGATTTGTACTTAAGAATATAGTGCCTAAAATATTACTTTTTCTTTGAAAGGATATTACCTATGATATGAATTTTCCAAACACAGGCATTAAGGTTTTAGCATCTTTACTCTAAAGAAGTATTTTGTTGTTGTCTTAAGTTTTTATCAACATGGGAAGAGTTAGGTCCTAAATCACCCATTTCATTTTAGGAGACCAGGGAGGGAAGTCAGATAAAATTATAAATTGCAGGGAGGCAAAAGCCGCACTCAAGCCCCTCTGATGTAGAGGATACCACGTAAGCACTTTGACTTTTAAAAAGTAATCAATTGTGAGTGCAGCATGGCTCGCAGACACTGAATTATTTGTTCGTAAACTTTGCATGTATTTTTCAAAAAAAGCATATACATTTTGTAGACTGGGGTTTATAGCTCCAACTTATTTTCTTTCAGGTAAACCAGCAGAGAAATGATTAATTTGGCTTCTTAATATTTATTTAGATTGTTCAAAATTGAAAATAGTTGTAGATTTCGTATTCTACTTCTTACTGATTTGCATGGTTAGAGAAATAAACTTCCAAAAAATCTAGCAGTATCAGAGAAATCTGAATTAAAAGTTTGCTGAAATATGTTTTAAGAGTCTCTTTATGAGATGCCATAATCATAATGTGAGTTAAAATCATAGTGAGATTTGACATGCACCTTCATCTTGAGGTTCTTCCTATATTTTAGATTCTTTTTGTATTCCCTTGTCATTGGTTTCTAGATTACTTTTGAACCTTTCCTCATTTTCATTTAGGTAAAGAAGAAATCCCTATATTAACAAACTTGTAAATTGAAAAAAATTGAAGACAACAAGAGACAGAGATAGTAGCCAGCCCCTAGAGATGAGAGGACCCTAATGGTTTTGTAAAATTTTTCTAGCAATTAGGTCTATGATATTCCCACTTTTGAATATTCACAATGTTTGGCCTTGGGAATTTTAGTTTACATAGTGTCTAAAAGTTTCTAGATTAGTTCTGTCACAGAATTTTTAACAACTTTGGTGACACACTTTAAGGGACCATACTTTTTTGATATGCATTTATTCAAGTCTTTATTTTTTTGTTCTTAGGTATAATTCTGATTGTGTTCTGTACTTGATAACAAGAAATTGTGTCCCTCTTGAATAATTGAAAACATTTACAATTTCCTCTGGACAGTGATTTCTCTAATACACTCTCTCAAACCATCATTTGTACAGCTTATGCACTGTGTTATTGCAGTGTGTTATGGTGTTTCTCTAATATAAGGTGCAGATTAAGGGAAATCATGTGCATCTTGATATGTTTAGTATCATGGAGAGACATTACCCAACAACAAGAAATGAGAAGAGCTCAGTCTTCCTATTGTACCTGAAATTTCAGTATAAATAGATTTCTTTGAAGCCCGTTCCCCCATCTGTGTCTTGCTCAAATTAGCAGTCCAGAGGACAAGCCTCTTTCTCTCACAGTATGGCACCTTCAGCCCAAAACTGCAGGAGAAAGGCTAATACTGATGCCCTCTATGGATAAACAAAGGAAATTCCAGGAACCATTGGGCTTTTTATGCCTCTCCTTAAATTGCACCTCTGCACTTAACAGCATCCAAAGGGAAACATACTGTGCAGAATGCTTCCGAGCTCTGAGCCGCTCAGAATACCAGAAGGAGAAACAAGAAGCCATATGCCAGCCTAAGTAGAAAGTTCAGAAAAGGACCCTTGTGTTTTATAAAGTAATTACATCAGAGGTAACGTTTTGCTTAACTTGAACAGCCATGGAAACTAAAGTACACTTAGGAGAGATGAATCCACATTTCATTGAGAAACATGTGGTGAAATCGTTCTCCCTGATATTATTAAGTGGTACATTATTTATTCTTGTAAAGCCTGGAATAGCTATCTCCATTTTCAGCTCATGACTGTATTATGCTAAGCTCTGAGCCACAGGAAGCAGTCTGTGGGGGAGGAGGCTTGCATGTGTGCCGGGGGTGGGGGTACGTTATCAGGAAACCTGGTGCTGTGTCTCATGGACCTCCACCTGCATGAACAAATGAGTGATGCCACCCAGGACCAGTTACTGAATATGTGACAAGTGATCTACATATTAGAAACCATCCTCAAAACTGGCCTTTGACAAATAATCTCCCAGGGAAGAGGTTGCTGTGTTTCTCTAGTGACATTTATAGCCCTCGTGTCAATGTGGCACTTCATTTTTAGTTACGCCCATCAAGAATTCAGTGTTCTACAGTCAGTCAAGTTGGATGCTAAAATTCAAATGGTAGCATCAACACTTGGCCAGGAAAATGCTGCAGAAAAGATAAAAAGTAATATCACTGGGAAAATATCTGTACTAAAGTTTTCCTATGCGCTCTTAGCTGAAGTACTGAGACTTCATAAAACATGCCCTAAATATTTTCCCCCAAATATATTTGAAAGATGATTTATTGTCAGTATTTCTCCTGGGAATTTTCTTTTTATTGTTTCAAGTTAAACTTTCATGATTGCTTTTCCTCAAGTTCCGACTAACTTGGATGACTGAGTTTTGGTGGCTCTCTTCTCCGCTGGGCTATCCAGAAGGTGAAGAGGGTGCCTAGCTCAGAACTTTGAGCATAATGCAAACATAGCACCATTTATAAACACTGTACATGAAATTAAAATGAAGAACCTTGGTTGGTTTTCCCTCATGTGTTTTCCTTGGTTAGGAGAAATTGCATGTAGCAATACTTATTACCTGTGACCTATTACAAAAGAGTTCAAAATTGGGTCAGTGATTCCTCCATGCAGAGAAATATACTGTCTGTTGTGTTTTTCTTTTCCTTTTGGCGATCTTTCTCACAGAAACATGCATTATAAGATTTTTATTTTTTCCAAATTGCCATCCAGTTTGACTTGATTAGAATTTATGGCAGTGGAGTCTTTTTCAATGACAAAAGGATAAAGGACTGAATTGTCTCTCACCCCTTGAGACAGTGATCTCTGCAGGTCAGTTTAGAGGTCAATGTGGAGGGTATTTTAGGGACTGCACTATGGGGTGATAGTACCTCTCCCGTGTGCATAAGTGGGGTCTTCATTTAAACATCTCTCTCAGGGTTTCAAAACCTTGGGTGTTTACAATATTCTGAGAAAATATGCTGGACCTTGTAATCAGCACATCAGTCTTAAGCTCAAGAGGGATTTGACTGGGAAATGATGAAGAAAATTCTCTAGAGAAATATGTTTATTGAAAACATGGACCATGCCTCTGTATTTTGTAAAGTTTCTATATTAATGTCAATTGAAAATTCATATTCTCTTCCACTGACGAAAATATGTTTTGCTAGGAAAATCTGAAGGCAGCATATTTAAAAACCAACTAGATAATTTGAGTAATGGATTCTATGCAAAAACAGTTATTGAAAATAAATGAGTAGAAACCTGTGTTTGTGTAGGTAAATGGGATGTATGATAAGGTATTTGTCAAAAACCAATTATGGTTTAATAGTCGAACAAGGCCTTTTTGCTTTCTGACTACTTGAGGGGGAAAAAATGCACGTTTAGATACTTTTTTTACATGTAAGAAAATCTAATGCACACAGGCACTTCTTTAAAATAAAATCAGTGAGAGGTTGTATTTAGACAAATCTAGTTTAGTAGGATTTTTATCCCTCCGGAAAACCATTGTAATGCTGCATTGATAAATAAATTTACTTTAAATAGCAAATTAATGTGTAAACTTTGAAATAA